TAGTTTGTATTTTTAGTTGTTATGAAGAATAAAAACAAAAATTTGCCATAACCTGGATTTGTTGTTACTGATATGGGCTTCCGCATATTGACTTTCGTCCAGCCCTGATGATGTGGTGCAAAGTGAAGAACAGTATGTGATTGCACCATGCTATATATGGCACTGCAAACTGCAGGGAGCACGGTACCAGTTTCTTGAAAGGTATACAGAAGGGGAGGGGGAGGAAAAAGGAGCTCTGGTATGGGTTTGAGAACTTCAGCTAATTACGAAACGTGGTTTGTCAGCAAGATCAGCGGCAAATAATAGAGCTGCCAATTTGAAGAAGGGATTCCACCCTTCCTCTTGTCTACCAGAGTTTTTATATGGAGACTTAATACTAGCACTATCAGAAGAAATGGGTGAATTTCATGAGTCAGAGACATACAAATTCATTGAATGAGAATATGAGAATGAAAGCGTGTATATAGTAATTTGTAATCAAGAACCAGAGTTTTAGTATACTTTTAATTTTGAGGAAAGCAAATAAATTTGTGAGACTGTATGTCACCCCTCTCAGTCTTAGAAGCTTTGGCTCATTTAATGAAATGTGGTTTAAGCGTTATGCCATTGAAGGTAATCATAACATTGTCCTTTTTAGGCTACTTCCATCCCTTAAGAAGAAATAGGCGTACGAGTTCATTATGCTCTTTGGGTCTATAACTGTGTCACCCTGTTTCTACTTTGGAACATATTATCTGGTTTTCAAAAAATTCGACGTGAATGTTATGCCAATAGAGGCCACTCCTATGTCATATTTTATGTTGTCCTGCAAGCGGTAATAGGAGTATGGCGGACTGACAAACTCCTGAAGCAGGGCCGACGCTAGCGCTACCAATATGGCGTCCACAAATTCTGTATTCCGATAGATCTTAGAAAAATATACAACTTTTTTTAACGTAATATTTTTGTAGATTGGAAACCAATAGCATTTTGGCTATCTGGAATTACTCGTATATAGATTTTGTTTTTGTGGCAATAAGTAATGAACAGTTGGAGTTGAATGTGTTACATTTCGTTAGAAGATGGACTGTAAACATACGTACAATATATATGTGTTATTGGTTGTTAAGTCATCAGTGGCAAACTTGGCGATGATGTGTAATCCTTTGTTTACAACCAACAGGTTTCATGTAGATAAAATCTGTACTTACTTAATTATGGAGCTGAGCCCTTCTTGAGGAGCTGCCAAATCTGCAGCTACTAAAGCATTTTATGGAACCCAAATGTTCATTCACGTGTTGATAAGAGCCCTCCACCTCAACTGGTCCATATCCTGAGCCAGATCAATCCAATCCACACCATCCCATCCCATCCTATCTCTCCATATTAATATTGTCCACCCACCTACATATTGGACTTCCCAGTGGTCTCTTTCCTTCTGGCTTTCCCACCAATATCCTATATGCATTCCTGTTCTCCCCCATTCGTGCTTCATGCGCTGCCCATCTCATCCTCCTTGACTTGATTATTCTCATTAAATCTGTACCACTACATAAGTAATAAATTACAAAATAATAATTTATTATCTGTAACATATTTACTATTGTAAGCAAAAGATATTTTGGATAATTGATATTTCAGTCTTCCGACATCTGTTCAGAGGTCCAGCCTGCTGGCCAGTGAACAAAAGAGAAGTTTGTTGTTACTTTATACATTTGAATTATCTAAATAAGTTAACAGCACAAGATGTGTGGAACTAGAAGTCAGTCCAGTAGGAAATCAAGCTTATGAATTTTACCTAGAATTAATTACGAGGTAAGATGGATTAAGTCTAGCTCTGACAAGGGGCCCATCTTGGTAGGACATTTTATTTTATCCTGTCACTTGAAGAAGGAAAGAGAATATGTTTGTGAAATGTTGTGGTTTCATTCAAAATATATCAACATAATCTACAAGGATTACCCTTAGTAAAATGTTCAAGGTTAATATCACAATTAATTTTTCTGTCAGTTATATTTCTAAAATTATTTTGCACTCCGGATCTTAGTTCGCGCTCAGATGTATCGCTATATGTTCGCTCAGTGATCCAGGTAAGCGACCTCCGTCACATGCAATGCAGAGCTGTGAGGATGAATGACAAGCGTCACTAAGTACTACAGAGCAGTACAGGCGCTTACCAACAGATGGATCTGGGGGGGGGAGGGTTCTCTTTACATGGAAATTAGCAAGCATCTCAACACATGAACTTATTGATGTTCAGGAAGTGGGAGGAACCTCAGAAGAATGGAGTTATGTTATTCCTCTGCCTTTGTATCAGGTAACTTCCTCTGTTTCTGCAATATTCAGGCTTCATATTTTCTTTATGTCTCACCCTTTCATCGGTAGAGCCGGATAGCGCAGTTGGTATAGCTACTGGCTGCAGGCTGGAAGACCGAGGGGTCGGAGTTTGAGTCCCGGTAGGATCAAAAATGTTTACTTCTCCATGTAGTCCAGACCGATTCTGGGACCCACCCAACATCCTATCCAATGGGTACAGAGGACTCCCTCTAAGGGGATAAAGCGGCCGGGGCATGAAGGTGACCACTCACCTCCAACTAGTGACGAGATCAAGAAAACAAGGATCTATACATCCGCTCCCCCATACACCTTCATGGTGTAGTGCTTAATTACTTAAGCACAGAGATAACTTTTACCTTTTTTTTTCATTGGCGCTACAGCCCTCATTTGATCCTAGGCCTACCTCCATGAAACTCTCCGTTTCACTTCGGTTTACTAGATCTTAGACATACGGTAGGACTCCTTGGGCGGGTGATTAGCTCGTCGCAAGGCCTCTACATGTACACAAATACAGAAAAACGCACACAAACATCCATTCCCTGAGTGGAATTCGAACTCACGATCCCGGCTTCCGAGCGAGCGAAGACAGTGCATGCCTTAGACCGCTCCGCTGCCGTGACCGGCCTTTTATCTTTTTACCTTTGCCAATTTTTTTCAGTTTATTGCATTGATGAGAGCGAAGAATAATGACCTTGGCCATGTTGTTTAAGAACTGTGTTGAGGCCTTGGAAGAAAGCTCCTCAGAA